CAAAAATCATTGGCTCCCATGAGTCATGCGACTCATGCAAGTTTTTGACATCAAAGGCACGACATTTGATTTAGAAGCTACAGCTGAGATTTTTAGCAGTTATTGTATTGAATCTGTATTAAGTCTGTTCCTTGTACAAAGCTTTATTTTCTTAAAAGTTGTTTTAAGTGATAATCATTTTGTAAAAGCAATAAGACACTGGTCAGACCGCTCTTTAAATGCATCCTGTTAGGTCCATATATATTTGGACACAGGCAGAATTTGTGTTATTTTAGCTGCTGACCAAAACATATTCAAGTTGCAATTATATAATGAATATGGGCTTAAAGTGCACATTCTGATCTTTAATTTGAGAGTATTCACATCAAAATTGGAGGAAAAGTTAAGTAATTACAGCTCTTTAATATGTACCTCCCCCTTTTTCAAGGGACCATACGTAATTGGACAATTGACTCAAAAGCTGTTTCATGGAAAGATGTGGGCTATTCCTTCGATATTTCTACATCAATTAAGCAGGTAAAAGTTTTGGAGTTGATTCTAAGTGTGCCATTTGCATTTGGAAGCTGTTGCTGTGAACCCACATCATGCGGTCAAAGGATCTCTCCATACAAGTGAAACAGACCATTTTTAGGCTTCAAAAACAAAACAAATCCATCAGAGAGATAGCAGGAACATTCAGAATGACCAAATCAACAGTTTGGTACATTCTGAGAAAATTAAGAACGCACTAGTGAGCTCAGCAACATAAAAAGGCATGGACGTCCACGGAGGACAACAGTGGTGAATGATTGGAGAATCCTCTCCATGGTAAAGAAAAACGTCCCTAGGTTACGTATGTAACCATGGTTGCCCGAGGAAATGAGATGCCGTGTTGAAATGCTATGGGAATGCATTCAGCGTGACCACGCTCTGAATCATGTCTGTAATCAGTCCAACGGAGTGGCGAGACGTTACGGGTGGGGTGACGTAGCGACCAGGAAGCTTAAAAGCATGTGCGGTGGAGACAGCGGCAACTTCTGGTAAAAGAAGGAAGTGCTTGCAGGGATGCTGGAAGTATGGCAGTGAGACGCAGCGTCTCGTTCCCTCAGGGAACCATGGCTACATACGTAACCTAGGGAAGTTCCCCTTCAGGAAATCAAGCTGTGTTGAAACGCTATGGGAACGAGAATGCCTACGCTGCCAGACTTGCAAATCCCTGCCTAGTGTGGAAGAGTACAGCTAAGGTGAGAGAACAGAGGAGCCAGGAGTGGCACGAACATCGAGGTCATAAAACCTCATAAAAATTAGTGGCGTGGACCAGCCCATGGCATTACAGATGTCGAGCATGGGGACCCCTGAAAGGAAGGCCTTGGAGGCCGCCATGCCCCTAGTAGAGTGAGCCTTGACCCCTAAGGGGGAGGGAAGATCAGAAAGAGAAAGAAAAATGGCATCCACTATCCACCTGCTGAGGGTCTGCTTAGTAGCAGGGAAACCCCTCTTAGAAGGACCGTAGCAAACAAAAAGCTGGTCCGACTTCCTCCACTGGGCAGCTCTGTGGACATATGCTCGCACTGGACACATACAGTTAAGCTTTTGCTGGCCTGGTGCCACGAAAGGGAGGAGGGCAGAAGGCCTGCAGGACGACCGGCCATGGGACGAAGGAGGGCACATTAGGCTTGCACCCCGGTCTGGGGTACAGGAAGGCTTTGGCCATACCAGGTGCAAAGTCCAAGTAGGAAGGGGCCACTGAGAGGGCCTGTAAGTCGCCGACTCTCTTCAGGGAAGAGATGGCTAAGAGGAAGACAGTCTTGTCTGTCAGAGCTCGATCTGAAACCTCCTCGAGGGGCTCGAAGGGAGGTTTGCAGAGAGCCTCCAGAACCACGGCCAGGTCCCACGGAGGGACTCGAGAACGTACCGGAGGCCTCAGCCTCAGCACACCGTGGAGGAAACGTGTAACTAGAGGGTGTCTCCCCAAAGACTGACCACCAAGAGGAGCGTGGTAAGCAGCTATGGCCGCCATGTAGACACATGGAAGTGATCTATTATGACAAACCAGTCCTCGGACCTGATTTGAGACACAGCCTGTTTGAGTGTCAGCATCTTGAATTCCAGCCGCATGACTGAACGGCTCAGGTGACGCAGATCTAGAATAGGACTCAACCCCCCGTCCTTCTTCGGAATGATGAAGTAGCTGCTGTAGAACCTGGACTCTCTCGATAGAGGAGGAACATATTCTATGGCCTCCTTCCTCAAGAGAGTGTCTACTTCCTCTTCCATAACCAGAGCCTGCCGGGGCCCACCAGAGTGGGAAAACCCCCTTGAATAGAGGCGGATGAGAACCAAACTGTATTCTGTACCCTCTTTCTACAGTGTGCAGGACCCATTGAGACACATTTGGCAGAATTTTCCACGCTGCCAGATAGTCTACTAAGGGAATCAGTCTCTCGAGACTGATCTCTGGTGTACTTGGAGCCGAGCTAGCCACTCTGGAGACCTCCTTGGAGGTTGCAAGCTTCCCAGTGCCGCTACGTTACCAGGCGGATGCTGGGGTATACACTCGCTGGAGACCGCTGTGCCCTGAAGCACCAGGGGTGGCAGGGTTGACAGACTGATCTCCTGAGGGCACTGAGGAGAGACGGGCACAGTATGATGAGGTGTACACTACTCTTCCCCAGAGAGGCCTGCCCTCAGAAGTCCTGAGCTGCAAGTGTCAGGACTTTTTGGCCGAGGTCTTCTGTCCTTCGCCACGAGAGGCGACGCTCTGTTTTTGTGTGCCCTGGTATGAGGAGCTGGTACACGGATGGCTGCTCCCACCCAGCAGCCCCGGAGCCAAGAGAGCGGCAAGGGAGGAACCGTTGGAACGCAGCTGCCTCTTTACGGGCCTCCTGAAATCTGTCGACAACCGAGTTAACAGCGTCGCCGATCAGGCCATAAGGCGCAAGCGGGCCATCCAGGAAGAAGACCCTGTCTTTCTAGACCTGCCGATGGCTCTGGCGGTCTCTTTGGTGGTCCCGAGAGACAAATCAGCGGTCCGAGGCAGTTCTTTAATGTCATCGGCCTTCACTTCCTCGCCCTCATCGAGCTTCTTCAGCAGGTCAGCTTGGTAGGCCTGTAACACCGCCATGGTGTGCAGGCAAGCACCAGCCTGACCCACTGCCATGTACCCTTTGCCCACCCACCGCGCAAGTTGCTACCTCCAACAACTCCTCATACTGGGCAGACTGGGGTGGTGAATCCACAGTCTCATCGATGCTCTTCACATCGACCTCCTCGGAGGACGATAGGTGGAGCGTCGAGCCCTCTCCCTGGGGGGAAGAAACCGCAGAGCGTGCTTCCGATCACTGGGAGAGAGAGCTGGATCTGGTGGGTGAGGAAGAAGTAAGGGACTGGCCCGTCTCCATTCCCTCCATCAAATCCATTTGCGATCCCCTCTGGCAGAGTGGCAGCAGCGGGGTCTGAGCCGCGAGGAACGCTAGTGAGGGCTCCCTCCTCAAAGAGAGCCCTCCGGGAGTGAAGCATCCACAGCAAGAGCCGCTCGCAATGCGGGCAGTCAGCCACCTCGAGAGCTGACTGAGCATGCTCCGCTCCCAAACAAACAACACACAAACTGTGCGTATCCCCACCCGTAATGAAACAAGGGCAGGGAGTAACACACAGCTTGAAATGCTGTTTGTCGCAACTTTTAAATGCCATAATAATCTTTTCTCAAAGACACACAACAATAAATAGGAAGTACACACAGAGAGTGCTTACTGAATGGCAGAAGCTGCCGCTGTCTCCACCGCGCGTTCTTTTAAGCTTCCTGGTCACTACGTCACTCAGGCCATGACGTCTCGCCACTCCTTTGGAGAATTGATTACACACATAATTCAGAGCGTGGTCATGCTGAATACGTTCCCATAGCGCTTTGACACAGCTCGAGTTCCTGAAGGGGAACCCTTTCACAACATCCAACCAAGAGAAGAACACTCTCCAGGAGGTAGGCGTGTCACTCTCAAAGTCTACAATCAAGAGAAGACTTCACGAGAGCAAATACAGAGGGTTCACCACAAAGTTCAAACAAGGCCAGATTAGACTTTGCCAAAAAACATCTAAAAAAAAGCCAGACCACTTCTGGAAAAGCATTCTTTGGATGACTGAAGTTAAGATCAACCTGTACCAGAATGACGGGAAGAAAAAAGTATGGAAAAGGCTTGGAACAACTCATGATCCAAAGCATACAACATAATCTGTGAAACATGGTGGAGCAGTGTGATGGCATGAGCATGCATGGCTTCCAGTGGCACTGGGTTACTGGTGTTTAGTGATGACGTGACAGAAGCAGCCGGATGAATTCTGAAGTGTATTGGGATATACTGTCTGCCCAGATTCAGCCAAATGCAGCAAAGTTGATTGGACAGCGGTTCATAGTACAAATGAACAATGGCCCAAAACATACAGCAAAAGCAACCCAAGAGTTTTTGAAGGTAAAAAGTGGAAAATTCTGCAATGGCCAAGTCAATCTCCTGATCTAAACCCAACTGAGCATGCATTTCACTTGCTGAAAACAAAACTAAAGGCAGAAAGAGCCACAAACAAACAATAACTGAAGTCAGCTGCAGTAAAGTCCTGGCAAAGCATCACAAAAGAGGAAACCCAATCTTTGGTGATGTCCATCAGTTCCAGACTTAAGGCAGTTGTTGCCTGCAAAGGATTCTCAACAAAATATTAAAAATGAACACTTTATTTATGATTATATTCATTTGTCCAATTACATTTGAGCCCCTGAAAATGGGGGGACTGTGTATACAAATATTTGTAATTCCTAAGCATGTTATATTTTTGTTCAACCCCCTGAATTGAAGCTTAAAGTCTGCACTACAATTTCATCTTGATTGTTTCATTTTAATTCTATTCTGGTGGCATACAGAGCCGAAATTATGAAAATTGTGTCAGTGTCCAAATACATATGGACCTAACTGTATATTATTTTACAGTATAACACCGTTTTATTTTAAACACTTATAAAGTATGTATCCATAATGCTTCTTGCAGTGTTTCTCGTGGGTATTTGCTTTGAAAATGACAAGAAAACAATCAAACGGAAAGTTCAGGGGGAGGAAATGAAAATCGCCCAGTCTGATGAGAGACTGACCGTGATTGGAAAAGGCAAAGAGATCTTAAACTGGTCAAGAGGAGCCAAGCCAAGAAACGACATGGGCTGCACCAGCATTGGAGGTATCTGTCAGAGTAATATTTACATCTGTCAGGGCAGATACCTGAAGGATAAATGTCGGGGAGAGATATCACGCCAGTGTTGTACGCCAGGTCTGATTTTACACTTTCTGACTAGATGCAATGTTCATTGGTTTCTTTTAACTAAATGAGACAAACTAACTCCTGTGGCCTTTTTCAGCTGCAGCGTGGAGTGCTCTGTGTGCTGGAAGTCATCATAACAGAGTGCGAGCTTGTGACAGCTATGGCTGTGGTGCCTTTAATTCCAGGAGGTATTTCAGAAACAGCTTTTTTCCTGAGACATCATCCATTATATCTAAATAAATAAATAAACTGAAATACCACAAATTACAAAGCAAATCTTGGGATAACTGGTGACTTTTAACTTATTTTATTACATAGCAATCGTTTAAGTAATGAGGTATGAGAAGTTGTGCTATATTGTAAAAATTAATCACAACTAAAGGTCGTAGTACATGCCGTGGATATTCATTAACAACACAAACTTAAGTGCATTATTGCTTTTATAAAACAATCACTACCTATTTAAAAATATATAATTAAGGAGTTTCTTCAGCTATGGGCAATTTTGGTCCTGTAGACATTTCGGTAACACTTTATTTTAAGGTGTCCTTGTTACACGTTACATGTACTTACTATTATAATAACAATTAATTATGCATATTTGCATGCAAGTAACCCTAAGCCAAACCCTAATCCTAACTCTTTACTTGACCTTCTAATTCTAGCACTCTCTATTCTAATTCTATTCTTAATAAACAAAAAACTTGCCCCTTTTAGACTTGCACTCTAGAATTCAAAGGTCACCAAAAAAAAAAAAAACAACTTTGGTTTCTTCAAAATATCTTTTGTGTTCCAAAGAATAAAGAAGATCATACATAAATGATGATGGAATTTGTGATTTTTGGGTGAACTGTCCCATTTAGAGTTAACAGCACTCTTTGGTGGCAGCTATATTCATAGTCTCTTAACACAGTCTCTTAGATTTAATTGCTCAAAAGTTTGTTTGTTTTTTAACAACAATTATGTATAAAGTTAAAATATGTGCTCATATTGCCGTCAAAGTGCAGAGACAACTATACGTAAGCCATTCATAACTTTATTTCCATGAAAAGAGTAAACACTGCGTTCCTGTGGAGCTATCAAAACATTTCTCTGTTTGTTCAAGCGTTTTCCAGAACAGTAACTTTCTCTTGCTTCGCCTTTGCTTTTTGAGCCGCATTATTTATCTTGTGTCCTCAGTGATGGGAGGATCCACAAGGGAATCGATATTGTGTGTGGTGACTATGGCATCGTCAATGCTCCTTTTTCGGGAAACCTGGGTGGTCCTGTTGGGAGAGCAGTGGGAGACTCCGTTCAGTATGATGGTGTCAAACTCTATAACAAAGGTATATGATACTGCCCTTGTCAATAAAATAGCTACGCATCAAGGAACATATTTCATTACATTACATTTTTAATGACTTGCCACATGCATTTTAAACTAGTATTAAACTAGACATACTTATTTGTCTTTGACCTATCAGTAGCCAATGTGCTCGCTGCCAAACATTCAAATATTCACGATAGCTCAACATTCAAATATTCACATTCAAACAATCATGATAGCTACTCGCATCTCAGCTTGTCTAACAGACATTTCTTACTGGATGAAGGACCATCACCTTCAACTCAACCTTGCCAAGACAGAACTGCTTGTGGTTCCATCAATTTTGGGTGAACTATCCCATTTAGAGTTAACAGCACTCTTTGGTGGCAGCTATATTCATAGTCTCTTAACACAGTCTCTTAGATTTAATTGCTCAAAAGTTTTTTTTTTTTTTAACAACAATTATGTATAAAGTTCAAATATGTGCTCATATTGCCGTCAAAGTGCAGAGACAACTATACGTAAGCCATTCATAACTTTATTTCCATGAAAAGAGTAAACACTGCACTCCTGTGGAGCTATCAAAACATTTCTCTGTTTGTTCAAGCGTTTTCCAGAACAGTAACTTTCTCTTGCTTCGCCTTTGCTTTTTGAGCCGCATTATTTATCTTGTGTCCTCAGTGATGGGAGGATCCACAAGGGAATCGATATTGTGTGTGGTGACTATGGCATCGTCAATGCTCCTTTTTCGGGAAACCTGGGTGGTCCTGTTGGGAGAGCAGTGGGAGACTCCGTTCAGTATGATGGTGTCAAACTCTATAACAAAGGTATATGATACTGCCCTTGTCAATAAAATAGCTACGCATCAAGGAACATATTTCATTACATTACATTTTTAATGACTTGCCACATGCATTTTAAACTAGTATTAAACTAGACATACTTATTTGTCTTTGACCCATAGTTATTTATCTATCTTTCCTCAGTGCATTGTGTGAAGATCTTCAACATCCGTCCGTATGTTTTCTTTGGCTCTGTAGTTCAGGGAGAGGCCATGGGTTACCTGTTACCCCAACAGGAGCGTTTCTCTGGCATCGCCTCGCACCTGGAGCTTCAGATGTGTGATGGCTCTGATCCATCGCCCTTCATATGAGACATGTTTATGCATTTAATCAGGCTTTAAATCATTCATTCAGTTAAACCAATTCTTAATGCTTTCATTAGGACTTATAGTGCATGGCATTACACCTTCATTTAAATAACATGACAAATTGACTGTTTTTACAAGCAATAAAATAATATATACTGTATGTAATCCTTTCATGAAGTATTTAGTTCATGAAAATAAAGTACCACAAGATGGCAGCATGAATCTACAGAACAATAGGGAAATAAAAATAAACTATATTGTTGATGTTGTTGCTATTATTATTATCTTCAGATTTACTCCACACCTTCTAATTTTTTTTCATATTTGAATGATGTGAAAGTAGACATCTCAGACTATGAACTACAAATAGATTTGAATTTAAATTATTTATAGTATAATGAGAAGACATCAAGACATTTGTGTTTTGGCATCCATGTTTGCTATTACATCTCAATTTGTATTTTCCAAATGGTAACTACCACACAGACAGACTAGCTGCATGACAGCATCCAACCAGCATGAAGCTTCTAGCTTTCTAGCTCTTCTCATGAACTTTTATTATTATTATTATTATTGGCTGACGTTTTACTTGTGTAGTAGAGATATGTGCTCTCTCAGTCATTTCATAATGTACAGTTTGTGTCTCATTGCTTGTTAATTTGTTGTAGAGATAAATATTTATAGGGTCTACCTTTGTAGTCAGCCCCAAAAAAATGTGTGCAATTGATTGTGAATAAAGAATATTAAATACAAAAAATCATATTATAGCTGGCCCTGTGTTTGGTATTCCTACTGTTACACAGCTAATGTTTACTGCAACAAACAAACATAAATAAATAAATTAATTAATTAATAAATAAACAACCAAACAAACAAATAAATACATAAATAAACATAAATAAACAAACAAACAAATAAATAAATATAAATAAATAAATACATACATACATACATACATAAAGCCGAAAATATTTGCAGATTTGTGCCATGAGCTCTAAACACACAGTGAAAACTGCATTTGTCTCAAAGCAAATTATAGTGCGGTTCCCCTTTAAATTGGTCTCGGATGAGCGAAATGACCAATCGTACTATAGCGAAGGGTTAACTAATGAATATTAATGCAGTCATCTGGCGTTCCCAGTAATCGTCTAGTCACGTAGCCTAATTAATATTCATAAGATAAGCAATTACCATATTTGGAATAATTAATCCGGCAGCTAGCAAACGCCCACTTACCAATGTCTACCTTTGAGCCAATCAGCTACGGTTATTCGGCGAACATCGCGGTACGTATTTAATATTCATGAGTCCCGCGTTGCCATAGTAGGATGTGCGAATGCGTTGGGTTTTAATTAAATAAGAGTCGGTGAGCTGGGATAGGCTGGGAGTTCTCTCGGTCCAGACTGCAGGAAATCCGACGTGGACTATAAACCCGCAGAAACGGAGAGACAAACAAGCGAATGACCAGAAGTCGATGCGGAAAACTGGATCAGATCTTCTGCCGTGGGACCGAACGCTACATTGTATCTAGAAGCCTGAGATTATTGCAACATGCCACGGCGGACTGTACAAGAAGTAACTGTTCAAGACGTGCAAAAGAGAAGAAACCCCAACAAACACTATGTAAGTGGACATCTGTAAAGATCGTTAATGAACTTCTTCCTCCTAACGAAGGTGTTTAGTGGTGTATTTTTGGGATTGTTTGGCTGGTTTGCCTGAACAAAGGCTGGAGGATCGAGTTACACACCAGCAGCACACACGCCAAAAGAGTTGCTATTTCACAAGTATTTCTGTTCAGCTGTGCTAGAGTATTAAACACCTAAAGTGTCAGGCAAAGTCTGCAGACAGCTAAATCATCTCTACTGTAATATCAGGGTCAATCCAGGTGTTTTCACATCTGCATCAATGTAACAAAGATAGTAACAAAGTCCATTAGTAGCTTAGACACACACACACACACATATGTGTTTATATGTGTATTGTTGTCAGTTTTGAGAGTGGCAGAGTGTTTACTAACTGCTGTACAAACTGCTGTGACTGCTCCGTGTTTCTCGAGGCCCTTTGTCCTGTTCACCACACCCTTCAAGTTAAAACACCCTTAAACACCCGTTAACCCCACTCTGCAGCTCTCTGAGGTTATTCTCGACTGGCCTGGGATCTGTTTTGGCCGCCGTAGCTTTGGTTTTTCCAGCCCAACAAAGCCAAAGATTTGTGTATTTTATTTAAACAGTTGTTTGGAACTTCAGAAGGATTTCTAGACGTGCTTTTCTTGTTTCCAGCTATCTTTATGCACATACTTATGCTTTGTAGAAACCGGTTCATTCATATGAGCATTAAACAGGAATGTGAAGAGAATTATTATTTGAGATGCAGCGATGCACTGCATTTCCAGGCCGATATTGATAGTTGATTAACGGCTGATGTGATTACCAGTAATTGTACTTTTTGTGTTTTAACACTTTTAACCGGAGCAGCTTATTATTACAGAAAATGTAAATATAAACCACTCGCTTGACACAAAATAGACATCATTTGAAAGCTTATAAACTCAGAGGTTGATTTGTGCTCAATATTTAGACCTTTTTATTTTCTGTATTCTGATACAGGGCTGATTTTCACTAAACCTGTCGAATACATGCCCCAGTCATATTTCACTCCCAAATCAAAAGATTTATGAAAATAAATAAGCAAACAAGATGCTTTTATTTGTTGTATTTAATTTACTTGATGTTAAAATCATTCAAATATGTCACTAAAATAATTTGTTTTCTATATTACAGTAGTACTCTGTGACTTTTACACGAATTAATAATAATTAACTAAAATCTTATATTGTGAATATTAAAAATTTAAAAATATATATCTAAAAGAATAGTTTAGATACAATATTAAGAACTTTTAGAGGGAAATCTGCTTAATCGGCATTCAGATTACATTTAAGTGTTATTTATTTATTTCTAAATGTATTTTTTTATTTATGTTATGTATTTAATTAATTTTAAATGCCGTTTATTTGTTATTTAATACATTTTAAATGCCATTTATTTATTTATTTATGTTATTTATTTAATTAATTTTAAATGCCATTTATTTATTTGTTATTTATTTAATAAATTTTAAATGCCATTTATTTATTTGTTATTTATTTAATTAATTTTAAATGCCATTTATTTATT